AAACCCATTTCAGGATACATTGTACAGGAAAAACTCACTGCCATCCAGTCAGTGCTGACTCAGCAATGCCTTGTGGGTTTCCAAGACTGTAACTGTTCATGGGAGGAGATAGCCTAGCCTTTCTCCCTCAGAGTTGCTGATGGTCTCGAATTACTGACCATGAGGATTGTAGCCCAATTCATAACAACTACATCACCAGCATTCCTTGGAGCCTGAATTTGGCTGACTAGAAACAGATTTCAACCAAAATGAGACTCACCATTAGGGGAAACAAGAGAGTAGAGCATTTCCTTTGTACTATTAGGTAATTATTTCCCACTATGGCTCTCTTCCCCAGCTTTTTGTCTCTATTCTCTATTTTGGATATCTCATATAAAAGGAATCACACAATTTGACCTATTTTGTCTGACTACTTGGCACAGTATTTTCAAAGTCCATCTAAGTTGTAGTATGTATTAGTGCTTACTCTTTTTTATAACTAAATACCCCATTTTATGTGTGTGCCACAGTTTGTCCAGTGTGGGTTGTTTCTACTTTTTAGTTATTGTGAGTAATACTGCTATAAACCAATATGTAAATTTCTATTTCAAACCTATTTCATTTCTCTTGGAATAGACTTGCTAGATCACTTGGTAGTTCTCGCTCTTTTTTTAAAAAACATTTTAAGGAATTGCCCTACTCTTACACAGCATTTGTAGTATTTTACATTCTCACCATCAACCATACAATAGTTTTTATTTTACCATGTCCTCAAAAACATTTTTTTAACTGTTATTTTGAAATTATTAAAACCACCCTAGAATGTATGATATGGTGCTTGGGTTTGCATTTTATTTATTTTTAAAAAATTATTTTATTGGGAGCTCTTACAGATATCATAACATTCGGTAGTTCAATCACATCAAGCAGTGTTATACATTTGCTACCACAGTCAGTTTCCAAATATTTTGCATTTTCTTAAAAACCTATGAGGTTGCACATCTTTTTCATATACTCGTTGACCATTTCTATACCTTTTTTTAATAGGTCCTTAGACCATTTTAAAAATAGGGTTTTTAGGGATGGGGGGAGAAGGGAGGGAGGGGAAAAATGAGTTAATACTAAGGGCTCAAGCAGAAAGCAAATGTTTTGAGAATGATGATGACAACAAATGTACAAGTGTGCTTGACATGATGGATATATGGATTGTGATAAGAGTTGTACGTGCCCCCAATAAAATGATTTTTAAAAATAGGGTCTTCAAAGGTCTTTATATATTCTAGCCATCAACTCTTTATAAGTTATATGATTTATAGAAATTATTCTCTGGTTCCTGTTATGTATTTTTTCCCTGTTATTATATTTTATGAAGTCCAATTAATCTATTTTTCTTTTTTTGCTTGTGTTTTGGGTTGTACATTGCCAACTCCAAGGTCACAAGATTTACTACTATCTTCTTTTTAATTTTTTTTTTTTTTTTTAATTTTAGCTCATATGTTTTGGACTTGGATCCAGTTTGAGTTAACTTTTAAATATGGGATGAGGTATAAGGGTCTTAATTCATTCTTTTGCATGTGGTTATCAATATCATTTCAAACAAGTAGCATTTTTTGGAAGCCATGCTATACTTTTGGCTCATACAAAGCACATAGTGTAGTCATGTAGTTAGAACATAAATGTCTTTCTGATAATGAATTTTTTTCTATATACAATGTGACTTTTATTTCTTAGGGGTTTGTGACCATGACATTGGAAAGCCCAGAAGAAATACAGGATGTCAACTGTGCCTGGAGAGAAATTAATAGAAAGCTGAGTAGTAACGCTGTGTCCCAAATTACCAGAATGTGCCTCCTCAAAGGAAATATGGTAAAACGTTATTTATTCAATCACCTACATATCTAAAGAGTAGCAGATTTTTGATCCATAATGGGAGGGAATAAAAACTGCTTCTCTGTGTACTAAATTGTTTCTATTGTAAATTTTGGTAGTTAAATAATTAACCCTGGCCTCCAGAAAGCTGTGAATCCTTGTGCTTAGTTTGACTGTGTAATACAAAGTTATCTACATTTCTGCCTTTGTGTACCTATTATGTATGTTTCTGTGTGCTTTTTCTTAGGATCACAGTGAGGATAATGATGTAAGTTAAGTATTTTAAAATCATGAAATGGCAAGGTTTAAATTGTGTATAATCTTAGTGTCAATGAGTTTTTCTAATGGTGTAAAAAAGAAATTATTCATCTAGCTTACCTCTGTTTTTTCATAGGTTTATTCTAGTTTAGGATTCATCGGCTAGATTATTTATTGGAGATAATCATGTCTCTCAAAATTTTCCATTACCTACCTTCAAAAACATGGGCAATGACTAAATATTTATGAATTATGAAGGGGGGGGAAGGGTTCATGGGGAGGAAAGAGGGGGAAAAATGAGGAGCCGATATTAAAGGTTCAAGTAGAAGGCAAATGTTTTTTAAATGATGATGGCAACAAATGTACATATGTGCTTGACACAATGGATGTATGCATGGATTGTGATAAGAATTGTACGAGCCCCCAATAAAACGTTTGGGAAAAAAACGGGGCAAATGTGAGATAAATACAGAAGAAAAAATAGAGAGAGAGGGAAGGATAAAATAAGGATAACAATATTCTTGGGTCAAACTAGTTGTTATCATTGAGAATTAAGTTACCTTTCAACAAAGAAACTTCTTAGATTACATCTCTTGTTCTCTGATAGGCACTGTCGTTCCTCAGGACAAAAATTCTCTGGCACTCAATTTTTAAAGGAATTTATTAGTTGGAACGTTTTATAAGAAACAATGTATATAAAAAATGAAACAATATTATAGTATTCACAAAAACCTTTCTAGATGGTACTTTTTAGTACACTTCTTTTTATTTTTTAATTCTTAAATGCATGTCTTAAGCTACTCTTAATTCAGAAAATAGAGTAAATCACCATTTTGTGTCATGTATATTTTATGCATATATTATCTGCTCTTTCAACATTCATTGGAAAGAACAAAAATGCATTTTATTTGAAGGAACAGATTTTTTTTTTGAAAGAATCAAGAATGTCTTTCTTTGTAGGTTATAGAAAATTCAGAAGTTCTGCATGATGAAGTATTTTGAGGTGCTGAAAACATTCCAGGAAAATGTCTTAATAAATGGTGGTTAAATGTAGATTTTGTTGTTGTTGTTCAATGATAAAAAGTTTACTAGCAAGTTTTAGTGTATTAGGGACTAATCAATGAACTCACCTGCATCTAAATAAAAATGCTTTTTTCATTTTGCTTTTAGGGTGTTTGCTTTGATGTTCCAACAACTGAATCAGAAAGATTACAGGTAATTTTTAAATTTTTCATCTGTAAATATTTTGGTATGTTAATATAAGAGATAGAGAATCTTTATAAAACATAATCACAATACCATTATCATACCTGTCAATAATTTAACAGCAAATATTCAATCTGTCTCATAGTTTTTAAAAATTATAAAAAATTTCAAACATAGGGTAAGTCACAAAGTATTGCTACAAAATAATAGAAACTTGTATTAAACCTAAATATCAAAATGCTTTTGTAAAAAAAAAAAAAATGCTTTTGCTTCTCACCACATCATCCATCTGGGTTTGCACAATTCTGAAGGCAGTGTTTCCCTCTAGCTAACCTTCCTCAAAGACTTCTGCATTCCTCAGTCTACACTACCACAAAGTGCTCCATGTGAGACCTTAAGGGATGCCCTTAGGGTCTATTTAAATGCTGAGTTTGGGGAACAAAAAGAAGTTTAGAAATCTGGAGGGACAGGTGGATGCAGTAGGTTTCCAATGAAATTCTCTGAAGACAGCTTTGGCTTCCTTTGAAGATTGAACAGCTGCATTGTCATGGGGGGGATTCCTTTTAATTCTATTTTTACACTTAGCTGAAAAACCTTCATAGGTTGTAATTTGTTTTCTGATAAATCTATTTCTCTCCTTTTAAATTGTCTTTGGATTGTGCCTGCTGGAGATTGCTACAGTGAAAAATTTGCCCGTTGTGTCCTTGTGTTGCTTAACATGTTCCTTTATTTTCTGAAATTACTAGTTAGATAAACTTGTGTACTTTGATCAAGAAACACATAATATATAACTTTAAAAAATCATATTAGCAGTCATTGATACTATTGCTAGATCTATTATTTAGTTAGATATTTCAACAATATTCAAAATGGTAATATTCTAATTTTATTCACCCCTTCATGTAATAGTTGAATACTTATATAAAGCCTAACTACTCCCCATTAACTGGTTATCCTGAGATAATTATATTGAAAAGCTAGAATAAGTGCTTGATATTTTCTAAATATGTGCTAGTTTAGAAAGTGTAAATTGATTGACTCTGAAACAACTTTCAAAGGTGACCAATAGAATTTTTTTTTGAAGTGTTTTTATGAAACAAGAGATTTAAACATTTGATGTGTTCAACTTGTTCTATGTTACCCTTCCCCTAGCCCCCAGCTTCTGGGTGTTTGTTTATATTATATAATATTTATATATTAATAAGATT